GAACCGCCCCCCCGTCGGTGAACTCTAGCGAACATTTAACACGACTGTGCGCCGCCCTAAAGCGAGAAACACATTTTGAAAAGGAGCCGCCCTCCATCTTGCAAAATTTTGAGACGAGTGTCGCTGAGGCGAGAGCCACATTTTGAAAACGGGCTGGCCTCCGTCCGCGAAGCTCTCGTCTGCTTTTTACTGAACAAATGTGCGGGAAGCTGAGGCGAGAGCCACACTTTGACAACGGACCACCCTCCATCCGTGAAACGGTTGCACATTCTAATCTTAGGTCGGGCATGCCACCCTACAGGCGGACTTTGAAGGAAAATTCAAAACATCCCAAATATCAAAACATATGTTTAAAAAAGTCGTCCCCGTATTATATATTACTATGTTTGAATATTCCTCCTGTGGAGGTACATGCCCGACTTAAATCTAATATTCAGGAACATCGATGGCGAGGAAATCTCAAGCGACATCCGCCGCTGTGCCTCTTGGCATGGCGCGGGCGTGTTCTCAGGTCCTTCGCCGAATCCCTGGGGCCTCAGTCTTGAATCCTGACGAGTCGGGGGAACGGACCCCGCATTCCAAAAAGCGGCGGGACTCCCGGCGTGCCCTGAGGGCTCCCCCGCGTCTTGTCGCATGACTTTCGCGGGCCCAAGACGGTTGTAGACAGGCCAAACGGGCTCCACGAGGCCCCAAAGACGGTCCAAGAGGGCCCCGAGGCGCCCGCCGAAACCTCGTTTCAAGACGCCCGAGATGCCCGCAAGATGGCCCAAGAGGCTTCCAAGACGCCCCAAGAAAGAGGCATCCCAAGAGGACCCCAAGACGCAAGAATCATTGATTGTCCTCCGGTTTCTGAAAGAGTTGGCGTTCTCGCTTTGAAAAGCGCCCCAAGAGGGCCCAAGAGGCGCCCAAGACGGCCCAAGAAGGCCTCAAGACGGCCCCAAAAGGGGCCCAAGAGAAGGAACACGAACCGAAAATCTGAGCCTTCCGCCGCCAGAGGCCCGCAGGAGCCCCCAAGAGGCGCCCAGGAGGCCCCAAGGGGCGCCACGAAGCGCCCAGGAGGCCCCAAGAGGCCCCCAAGAGACACCAAAGAGGCCCCAGGAGGCCCCACAGCGGCCCCCAAGAGGCTTCCAACTGCCTCCACGAGGCCCACGAGAAGCCTCCCACGAGACTTCAACGAACATCCAAGAAGCTTCGCACCCACAACCCAGGCACGGTGGCGGGATGGGCCGAAGGCCACGTGCCTCTGGGCACGGAGTGGGCGTGTCCCAACGTTCTCTTGCCGTCGCTCGCACGTCCATATCCCGTGCATGTTTCGGTTTCGTGCGTGTTTCTGTTGCTCGATGGTCCAGGATGCTCCTCGATGGCTCTCGCCGAGAAAAAAGGCACACGTCCGAGCGATCCCAACGTCCTCTGCCCTGCGGAGTCTTGAAAGGTCCCCCGGACCTCTCCGAACTCTCTCGGGACTTCCCTCATGCCCCCCCCGGGCTCGGGCGCGTGCCCCTCTGAGCTCCGGCGCGCCTCCCCGCGCGACTTCCCTCGGGCCCAAGGAGGGCCCCAAGACGGGGGCCCCCAGCGGCCTCCCAGACGGCCCAAGAAGGCTCCGAGACGCCTAAAGATCGGTCGAAGACCAAGAGGGCCCCCGAGACGTCCCAAGAGGCCTTCGCGAGGCCTCGCACGAGGGCCCTACGAGGCACAAGTTGTTGATGCTCCTTCGGTGTCTGACAAAGTTTGGCGGTCTCGCCTTCTCGGCTTTCCGACGCTCCAAGACGGCCCAAGAGGCCCCCAAGACAACCCCAAAACGCCAAGAGGGCCCCAAGACGGCCCCAAAGGGGGCCCAAGAGAAGGAACACGAACCGAAAACCCGAGCCTTCCGCCACAAGAGGCCCCAAGAGGCGCCCATGAGGCCGCAAGAGGCCCAAAAGACGTCCTGAATCGGCCACCAGGGGGCCTCCAAACTGGCTTCAAGAGGCCCCCGAAAAGTCCCACACGAGATCCCAACGAACATCCAATACGCTTCATGCGCACAGCCCAGGCACGGTGGCGGGATGGGCCGAAGGCCATTCGATCCGCCGCCCCCTGTTGATTCATCACAGGGGTGCCTGGCGTGCTAGATCCTCTCGGTTTTGGTTCTTTTCCAACAGAACTCCCCCTGGGCCTCCGGCGCGTCCCGCGGGGGTCGCGGGAAGGAGCTCAATCTGGGAAAAAATCCTCCAAGATGGTTCAAGATGGCACCAAGATGGCCACGTTGGCCAAAGATGGCCTCCAAAATGGCCTCCAAGTCCGCCCAAGATGGTTCAAGACGACCTCCAAGATGGCCCAAGAGAGTTCAAGATACCTCCAAGTTCGCCCAAGAAGCCTCCAAGACGGCCCAGCACGACCGAAGAGGTCTCCAAGAGGTTCTCCAAGAGGCCCGAAGAGGCAAAAATCAGTTACTTTCGCTAGGTTTTTGAAGGATTTTGGCATTTGCTTCTTCTCGGCATTCCGACGGCTGAAGACGGCCCAAGAGGCCCCCAAGATCGCCCCAAGATCGCCCAAGAGGTCTCCAAGACGGCCCCATGACGGCCCAAGAGACCCCCAAGATGCCCCCAAGAGGGCCTCCAAGACGGCTAAGATGGCCCCAAGATGCCTCCAAGATGGCCCAGCTTGCACCCAAAACGGCCTGAGATGGCCTCCAGATGGCCTAAGACGGCCCAAGAGGCCCACAAGAGGCCTCCAAGACGGCCCAAGAGGCCTCCAAGAGGTCCTCCAGGAGGGCCCGAAGAGGCCAAAAGAATTATGTTTCCAAAGGTTTCGAAGGATTCTGGCATTTGCTTCTTTTCGGCATTCCGACGGCTCAAGACGGCCCAAGAGGCCCCCAAGATCGCCCACGAGGCCTCCAAGGTGGCCCCATGACGGCCCAAGAGGCACCCAAGAAGGCCCCGAGAGGACCCAAGAGGCCTCCAGGACGGCCCAAATGGCCTCCAAAACGCCTAAGATGGCCCCAAGATGCATCCCTCCAAGGCGGCCCAAGATGACCCAAGACGGCCTAAGATGGCCTCAAGATGGCCCGAGACGGACCAAGAGACCCCCAAGTAGCCTCCACGACGGCCCAAAAAGCGTCCAGGAGGTCTTCCAGAGGGCACGAAGAGATCAAAATCATTGATGTTCCGTCGGTTTTTGAAAGATTTTGGCATTTGCTTCTTCTCGGCATTCCGACGGCTCAAGACGGCGTAAAAGGCCCCAAAGATCGCCCAGGAGGCCTCCAAGATGGCCCCAATACGGCCCAAAATGCCCCCACGACGGCCCCAAGAGGGTCCCAAAACGACCCTGAAGGCCTCCAAGACGCCCAAGATGGCCTCTAAACCCCTGACATGCCCCAAGAGGCCCCAAGACGACCCAAACAGGCCCCCAAGACGGCTCCCGACGGCGTCAGACAAGCCAGGAACGCCCGGCCTCCAAGAAGCCCCCAAAGGCCCCACAAAAACCCTCCAAGAGCCCCCCAGGAAGCTCCCAAGAGGCCCCAAGAGTGCCCCAAGAGGCGCCCAAGAGGCCTCCTCCACCTCCTCCTCCTCTTCATCATCTGTTTTTCCTCATCCTCCCCCTCCTCCTCTTTTGCTTCCCCGCGCGTTCGCCCGAAGTCTGTCCAAACCGAATTCGCCGTAGGCGTCTTCGATCCGCTGGGGGCACCTTGGGCCAATATATTATATATATATAGAGAGAGAGAGAGAGAGAGAGAGAGAGAGAAAGAGAGAGAGAGAGAGAGAGAGAAAAAAAAGAGAGAGAGAGAGAGAGAGACAGAGAGAGAGAGAGAGCCAGAAAAAAAAGAGAGAGAGAGAGAGAAAGGGAGAAAAAAAGAGAGAAAGAGAGACACACTGCATAAACATGAACGTTTGACGCTCCGCACGGATTCTTCGATCGGTGGCTGGGCCCTTCCCCGGCGCGCGGAGCGCTCCGGGGAGGCGGCGCCGGAGGCGCCGATCCACGGGGGGCCGGCGCCGAGCCAGGAAACCTGCGCGGAGCTCCGAACGAGTACCCATCGGTCGGAAGAAGTACGGCAGGTTCGTGTCGTGCCGACCCCCGTGTTGGTTTTTGACACCGCAGGGATCGTTCAACCTTGAACGATCGGCCGCTGCCGCAACGTCCGATCGTTCCACATCGACCGATTCTGGGTCGCCGGCGGCGTTCAACCTTGAACGCCCGCGCGGGGGTCGCCGCCGGTCGACACGACGCAGACCTACCGTAGGTAGAGTCGGGCATGATCGGAGAGGACACGCGCGAGGACACACCACCTTTCCGAGGGCCACATTGCCATAGGAGTGTAAGAAGGCACGTGTGGCGAGGCACAGGGCACAAGGGTACCCTTGAGCTGACAGGGTCGACCTACTACTTTGGGCCGACTGTAGAAGCATGAAGTAGGAAGGCGGCGTTGAAAGTAGATTGAGTGTCCGCCCGCCCCCTCAAGAGGACGGAGGAGGGGAAGCCACTCGGTCATTGAAGCAGAAAGGCGCTTCAAGTAGATTGGAACCATGGAATCCAGAAATACCTGCTTTCAACGACCGATGGGCATGCTTCTGCCGTGTCTCCTTCGACTGTAACACCACTCGACTCTCTGCTTGCTACCTCGACACCCCAGGCAGGAGAGCCCAGAATCGAATCGAGAAGTCGGATTGGCGATCGACATACATCGAATCGGAAAAAAATAGGCAGCCGAGTCGAGAAAAGTCGAACCGGCGGAAATCGGCAGGCTCGTGTGCGTCCAGTGAGGCATCGGAACTCAGATCGGAACCCAAAGTCGAATCGAATCGGAATCGAATCGAATCGGAACCCCAAGTCGAATCGGAACTCAAATCGGAACCCCAAGTCGAATCGGAATCGAATCGAATCGGACCCCCAAGTCGACGTCGAATCGGAACTCAAATCGGAACCCCAAGTCGAATCGAATCGGAATCGGGAAGCCACCGAAGTCGAATCGAACCGAAAGCACCGGAACGAGCCCTGCCCGTGGGGGCGAGGCCCGTGTCCTCGGGGTTGTCCACGCTGCGCGACCACCTGCACGGGGTCAGCGCCTGAGAGGGCGAGGGCGCGGCGCCGCCGCTCGAACACAGATGCCCTGTCCGCCCCTCCTCTTGGTGGTCCCAAACTCCTTCTCCTCCTCCTCCTCCTCCTCCTCCTCCTCCTCCTCCTCCTCCGCCTCGTCTTCCCCCTCCTCCTCCTCCTCCTCCTCCTCCTCCACCTCCCTTCCTCCTCCTCCCTTCCTCCTCCTCCCCTCCTCCCCCTCCTCCCTTTCTCCTCCTTCCCGTGTGGTGACATACCCGGCGGCGACCTCGAACTCCCCTTAGACCTTACCGCAGGGTCCGTCACCACACGGTGTCGGGACCCTGGAGGCCCCCGTCGCCCGAGACATCGTCGGAGAAGGACCCAGGTCCCAAACCCGTGCGGTGACCCCCCGACTCGCCGCACGGTGTGGTCACCACCCCGTTTGGGGGGCCCCCGATCCTCCCTCCGCCCCTCCCCCCCTTGACGTCCTCGCGCTGTACAGACATCATGACCGGAGTAGAAAAAATAAAAAGCTCCACAAACATATACTTTCGGCGCTCCGCTCGAATTTCTTGGATCTGCGCTGGGCCCTCCTCCCTGGCGCGCGGAGCGCGCCAGGGGCGGCGTCGGAGGCGCCGCAGGGGAGGCTCAACGCGGATCCAAGAAACCCGCGCAGAGCGCCAAACATTTATGTTCATGGCGCTTTTACTCCGAAGCAAGGCAGACAACTATCGAACTCAAAACCTCCCGCTGCCACAAATCGAGTAACAGCTCGGGTCCTACGTGGTTGACTGAGCGCCTTCCAGCTGGGACGGGGCCCTGTAGGATCCAACACATCCGCGCGGAGCGCCAACAATTTATGCTCATGGCGATTTTGCTGTTCTCCGGCAAAGGCTGTTTGTTGCAGGTGCTGGCCTCTGGTGGCCCTTGCTGGGCCCAGGGGCCGCCAAAAAACGACTCGGGACGGAAAGGCGACGACGACCTTCGGGAACGAGTCCAGGCCTCTGGAGGGCGGCGCTGCAGTAAGAACGCGAACGTCGTCTTACTCGGCGTTTCCACATTGGACAGAGAAGGGGTCAAAGGGGGGTCTGGCTCCGGACCTTTGCTTCATGCGACTGTTTGCAACGGTGTGTCCTACAGGGGAGAAACAAGCGCCCAGAAAAGCCGAGGTCTACTCGTTAGGGGGGGTGCGAGGGCCCGCGCCGATCGGCAAAACACTGAATAACAAAAGCGAACACAAAACACGACATCGGATGCCTGGGTCCCCCTCATGCCTCGCCCCCCTCCCCTCCGATGCCCTGCTGAACGATGAACCAACAGAGCGCCCCCAACCATGTGGGAGTGGATCTGACTTAGGAGGGCAAAACAAACATAAGCGATAATGAGCCTTTTCTGCAAATTTACACCAACCTGACCGCCCAAATGCATTATCCCCAATGCGAAGCTGGGGACCTCAATGCGGCCACGTCTTCACTACACACACCCGGGAAACATGTTATGAAAATAGAAACGGGACGGCCATCATGAATGATCTGCAGAATTCAACGCCCAAAGAGGACCAGTCAGTTAGATTCGCCTTTCAATGTTCGCAGCGTGCGCAGGCGCGCACCATGGGCCAGGTCATTGATATGCCACGCTTCGGCTTGCGCGCCCAGTGGCAACGTTGGGAGGCGGACGCCACTTAATGCCCGGTTGCTGTTGCAAGCTCATCCTTCACAGGGCCGCTGGCGTGGGCGGTTCCACGTTCTGCCTTGCGGTTTCGTTCCTACCGGTCGGATGGTTAACATGCAACGCGCATTGCAAACGATACGTTCAGGCGGATGTCGCTTGTTGCGACGGGCCCCGCCTGGTCGGATTCAACATGTTTTCGGATCCCATCCCTGTGCCACTTTTGCTATGATTTTTTTTTCGCGGGGATGGGTAATTCTGCCTAAGTATTGGGTTTCCGCGCGATCCCCTCTCGTCTTTTAGCGTGCCGCCCTGTGGGTAATGTGGGGCGTGTGAGACTTGAGGGACCTGCGGGACATGCGGGACCTGAGCGACTTGCGGGATCGGTGGGTTTTGCTGGACCTGCGCGACCTGTGCGACCTGCGAGACTTATGGGAGCTGTGGGGCCTGTAAAACCTGTGGGGCATGTGCAAAATGTCGGCCTTTTTTAACCTGCGAGAGACCTGCGCGCCTTGCGGCACCTGCAGGGCTCGCGAGACCCGTAGGGCCTGTGCGACCTCTGGCACCTGTGGGACTTGTGGGACCTGCGAGACGCGTGCGCCCTGCGAGACCTGTGGGGCCTGCGAGAATCGTGTGACATGTGAAGCCTGGGGGGCCTGTGGGATTGACGATTCACGAATCCACTGGGGCTCGCGAAGCGTTGTCCAACGAGCCGCGTTGACGATTCGGTGGGGGGGGGAGCGGGTTCGATTATGTAAATTCACACGCGGAGCGCAGTTTAGGCCCCCCGACAATCCCACTTAACGAGCGGGCGGGTGCGGGTTTAGCGTGTAAATTCATACACATAACGCACTTCGCGTAAAGTGGCGTGACCCTGCGTGCCCACTTTTGATTTCATTTTGTTCGCATGTGGCGCGTGGAAAAATAAGCGGGAAGCATCCATCGTAAAATGGGAAATGCTTCAATGAACACTTGAACATATGTTTAATGCAAACACTTCCACTTTATGGTGGACGCTTCCCTTCTATTCTTTCACACGCGAAACGCAACATAAACAGATCGTAAAATGGGCGCGCCGGGGCGCGCCACTTTACGCGAAGTGCGCCCCGCGTGGGACTTGTGGGACCTGTAGGACCTGCAAGACTTGTGCGACCTGCGAGACCTGTGGGGCCTGAGAGAGTTGTGCGACCTGTGAGGCCTGGGGGGGGGCCTGTGGGATTGACGAGTCACTAGTCCATTGGGACATGCGAAGCGTTGTCCAACGAGCTGTGTTGACGAGCCTGCGGGGGGCGGGTTCTATCATGTGCTATCACACGCGGGGTGCGGTTTAAGCCCCCTGGCAATCCCACTTAACGATCGGGCGGGTGCGGGCATAGCGTGTAAATCCATACACGTAACGCACTTCGCGTAAAGTGGCGTGCCCCGGCGTGTCCACTTTACGATGTTTTTCTCCTCCGCGTTTGGTGTGTGGAAAAAAAAGGCGGGAAACATGCATCGTAAAACACGAAATGCGTTAATCAAAAAGTGTGGAAATCCGTGTTTTTTTGACTTCAAACATTTCCACTTTACGATGGGCGGTGCCTGTCCTATTTCTTCACACGCGAAACGCCCCAAAAACATATTGTAAAGTGGGCGCTCCGGGGCACGCCAATCTACGCGAAGTGCGTCCCGCGTATGGTTTTACGCAATAAGCCTGCCACAACCCGATCATCGAGTGGGGCCCCAGGGCAACGCGAAGTGCGCCCCGCGAATGGATTTTCGCGGTGGGCCTGAGCCCGCCCGCATCCAATCGTTAAGTAGGTGCGCCAGACATCGAAACTTTGCCGCCGCGAGAGGATTTCCAAAGTGAGCCCGCTCCCGCCCGATAGGGGATTGCGTCCGACAACGACGGGCGGCCCCTGGGCCCAAGGCACAGAGCGCAACCGTTATTGCAAGGAACGGCGGGCGACGACGACGACGACCGCGGCCACGTCGACGACGACGACGACGAGGACGAGCGCGACGACGGCGACGACGACGGCGACGACGACCACGACGACGACCACGACGACGACGGGGACCACGGCGACCCCGACAACTACGACGAAAACGACATGCGTTCTCGCCACATCGCCGTCCACTGCTTAACGCCCGCTCCTCCGCTGAAGCGCCATCAGCATCCTCGCTCGCCTCTTCCTTCTGATCCTCCTGCTCCTTTCCCCCTCCTCGATATCCTCCTCCTTCGCATCTTCATGCTCCCTTTTTTCCCTTGCGTCCCCCCGAACCTCCCAGGGAAGCCGCGACAGACCACGGCAGCCGTCCGGGTGCGATTGTATGTATCAGGGACCGCGCGCTGCCCATTCCATCTGCCCGAGCGGCAGAGGTTGCCGACGTATAAGGCAATTGCCTTTTAAAACGATTGGGACACGCCCAAACAGGTTCGACATCCACGCAGCCTGGGAAAATAATATAGCAAAAGCAGCACGACGATCATCATGAATGATCTGCAGACTGCGACGTCCAACGACGAACATTCAGTTATCTTCGCCTTTCCATTTCCGCAGCGTGCGCAGGCGCGCACCATGGGCCAAGTCATTGATCTGCCACACTTTGGCTTGCGCGCCCAGTGGCAACATTGGGAGGTGGACGCCGCTTAATGCCTGGTTGCTCTTCCAAGTTCATCCTTCACAGGGCCGTTGGCGTGGGCGGTTCCACGTTCGGCCTTGCGGTTTCGTTCCCACCAGTCAGATTGCTAACGTGCAACGCGCAATGCAAACGATACGTTCAGGCGGATGTCGCTTGTTGCGGCGGACCCCGCCTGGTCTGACTCGGCAAGTTTTCGGCTCCCATCCCTGTGCCACTTTTGTTATGAACTTTTTATCACGGGAATGGGTAATCCTGCCTGAATGTTGGGTTACCGCGCGATTCCCTCTCGTCTTTTAGCGTGCCGCCCCATGGGTTGAGACTTGCGTCCCTGTGGGTCTTGCGCGACTTGTGGGACCTGCGAGACATGCGGGACCTGGGCGACATGCGGGATCTGTGGGCTTTGCTGGACCTGTGCGACCTGTGCAACTTATGCGAACTGTGGGGCCTGTAAGACCTGTGGGGCCTGTGCAAAACGTCGGCCTTGTTAAACCTGCGAGTCACCTGCGCGCCTTGCGGGACCTGCAGCGCTGGCGAGACCCGTGGGGCCTGTGCGACCTCTGGCACCTGTGGGACTTGTGGGACCTGCGAGACCTGTGGGGCCTGCGAGAATCGTGTGACCTGTGAAGCCTGGGGGGCCTGTGGGATTGACGATTCACGAATCCACTGGGGCTCGCGAAGCGTTGTCCAACGAGCCGCGTTGACGATTCGGTGGGGGGGGGTGCGGGTTCGATTATGTAAATTCACACGCGGAGCGCAGTTTAGGCCCCCCGACAATCCCACTTAACGAGCGGGCGGGTGCGGGTTTAGCGTGTAAATTCATACACATAACGCACTTCGCGTAAAGTGGCGTGACCCTGCGTGCCCACTTTTGATTTCATTTTGTTCGCATGTGGCGCGTGGAACAATAAGCGGGAAGCATCCATCGTAAAATGGGAAATGCTTCAATGAACACTTGAACATATTTTTAATGCAAACACTTCCACTTTATGGTGGACGCTTCCCTTCTATTCTTTCACACGCGAAACGCAACATAAACAGATCGTAAAGTGGGCGCGCCGGGGCGCGCCACTTTACGCGAAGTGCGCCCCGCGTGTGATTTTACGCACTAAACCTGCCACAACCCGATGATTAAGTGGGGCTCCTGGGCAATGGGAGACGCGCCCCGTGTATGAGTTTACACAGTGAACCTGAGCCCGCCCGCGTCCCATCGTTAAATTGTTCCGCCAGGCATCGAAAATCTGCCGCCACGAGCGCATTTTCAGTGTGCCCGCCCCCGCCCAACAGGGAGTTCCGTCCGACAACGACGGGCGGGTCTTGGGCCCCAGGCCCAGAGCGCAGCCGTCATTGCCAGGAACGGCGGGCGACGACGACGACGACCACGGCTACATCGACGACGACGACGACGACGATGAGGACCACGACGACGGCGACGGCGACGGCGACGACGACCACGACGACGACGACGACCACGGCGACCACGACGAAGACGACATGCCTTCTCGCCACATCGCCGGCCACTGCTTAGCTCTCGCTCCTCCGCCGAAGCATCATCAGCATTCTGACTCGCCTCTTCCTTCTGATCCTCCTGCTCCTCTCCACTCCTCGATATCCTCCTCCTTCGCGTCTTAATGCTCCCTCTTTTCCCTCGCGTTCCCCCCCCGAACCTCCCAGGGAAGCCGCGACAGACCACGGCAGCCGTCCGTGTGCCATTGTATGTGTCAAGGACCGCGCGCTTCCCATTCTATCTGCCCGAGCGGCAGAGGTTGCCGACGCTACAAGGCAATTAGAACGATTGGAACACGCCCAAACAGGTTCGACCCCCACGCAGCCCCAAAAGACATATAACAAAATCATCACGACGATCATCGTGAATGATGTGCAAACTGCAACGCCCAGAGAGGATCATTCAGTGATATTCGCCTTTTAATGTTCGCAACGTGCGCAGGCGCGCACCATGGGCCAGGTCATTGATCTGCCACACGTTGGCTTGCGCGCCCAGTGGCAACATTGGGAGGCGGACGCCACTTAATGCCCGCGTGCTCTTCCCAGTTCATCCTTCACAGGGCCAGTGGCGTGGGCGGTTCCACGTTCTGCCTTGTGGTTTCGTTCCCACCAGTCGGATGGCTAACATGCAACGCTATGCAGACGATACGTTCAGGCGGATGTCGCTTGATGCGGCGGGCCCCGCCTGGTCTGGTTCAACATGTTTTCGGCTCGGCTTCCATCCCTGTGCGACTTTTGTTATGAACTTTTTTCACGGGGATGCAATAAGGGCCCGACCACAAAAAACCTTCCGCAAGAAATCCAACCGTGAAACCCCAAGACGTCCATCGGGTCTTGACGTGGGAACGTCGCGTTTTCCATGGCAAAACCATCGAAACACAAGAAACCCATGGCACCCTGGAGGCAAGCTGAGTGTTCCTTGGCATGGGTCTCCGCTGTATTTTTTAGGGTTCATTATGGATTCTTTTCCCCTCGATGACTGCAAGATAAGATGGCCGTCAGGACAGGCGCGGGAGGATCTCCGAGGCTGAACTCTGCCGCAGAGCAGAGGCCAGCTCGGCCTCCGCGGCCAGACGAGGCCAGGACCCAGAAAACGACGGACTCTCCTTGTCCTCCTCGTCCTCGTCCTCGTCCTCGCCCTCGCCCTCCTCCTCCTCTTCGTGCTCCTCCTCCTTCTCGTGCTCCTCCTACTGGGTCCACTCGGGGATCTCTGAGATCCGGTGGTGCTGGAAGACGTGTCGGGCGCCGCGGGGCCGTTGCAGAGCGCTGCAGACTCCTACATGAGGTCCGAGCAGATGGGATCGGAGGACCGATGCATCGGCGACGTCGGCGACGCACCGCCGCCGTCGGCGTGGCGACAATCGGGCTCCGCCTCTCCCCCGAGCCCATCTGCTTCGGCCACAGCCGGAGGGCCTAGAAGGACGCCCTGGAGCGGTTTGTCCCTGCCCTTGGCCAACGAGGCGGCTGCCTCTCGGGCCTCAACGTCCTCTCTGGCGTGTCCGTCCTCGTCGAATCTCCCGGGGCCTTTTCGTCGCCATGGCAGCTGGATCCACCACGGACAACTCATCTGGATGACTCTGGGAAGGACCCTTTGGTCTGGGCGGGTGAGTTGTTTTCCAAGCGCCTCCTGGCGCCTGCGGCGACCGCGCATCGAGGAATGCGCCTGGGGGCGAAGCCGAGACCAGCCG